GTCCACACGTCTTAAAGTTCCCAAGGTTGAGAAACACTGATGGAGACAGAGAGAGAGAAAGAGAGACTCTTTAAATTTAATTAACTAATTAATTAATGGGAAGCTGAAGACCCTGGTGAACAGCCTCACGCAGGGCTACGAAAATGCAGAGGAGCAAACGTAGCTTTGTCCGTACAATGTCTTGACTGCCTCCTGCTGCTTGCAGAAATCTCTTGCAAAGCCAAGCCACAAGCTTCACGGGTCCCCCCCCCCACCCCCACGATGGAGATTTGCTGTGTGTGTGTGGGGGGGGGTATTTGTTTAAAAACAGTTGTCTCTAATGATTGACTAATCTTGTTGTTCCTGCTTGCCTTCGCACTGGTAGCTCTACCCTGTTTCCTTTCTCACATCCACGTGAGCTAAGCAGAAAATCAAAAAGCCGCCCGGAATCATTGAGAGTCGGGCGGCGTGCAAGTTTAATAAATCATTATTTTTATTACTCGTGTCTTGAGTGCTCCAAGAGTGAAACTCTTCAGGCGTCAATAAGAAGTTGCGCTTCCTATTCTGTATCTGCAAAACGGTTGCCTCTCTGCTACTGGCCCTTGGGGAAATACGGCTCTCAAAATCCTTCCCGGAGCTGCAAACTGCAGGGGACGGATGGAGAGTTCTTGATGCGATCGGGCGGGCTGCCTCATTTATCATCCGTGGCAGCCTAAAAGAAGAGGAAATTAAAATCTCTTCTAGCTCATTACAAGGCCAAAGCAAGAGGGGATGGTACCACTGCAAATTTTTACTTTTTTCTACTGCATTAGCCTGGGAACTGGTGCCCGCTTTTTGGGGCTGGCAGGCAGAACAAGGAAACAGATACAGTGGTGAATGAACCGAGTCTGGCCTTGAAACTGTTCACACTGTGTTTTAGATGCCTGTTGGGGTTTGGTATCTTCCTAATTTAGTCTCACAGCTGGCCGGTGGGAATGTCCAGAATTAGCAGGCAGGGGCTGGGCTGAAGAATTTTAGCAAAACCTCGCGCTAATACAGACCAGCCCCTTTTTTGCAGTCGTTTTCAATTTGGCAGCAATTGCTCATTGGGTGATTGAGCAAATACAGCAGCCTTTGTCAGTCGGGAGCCTCCCAGATGTTGGGGCTACAGCTTTCAAAATTCCCAGCCAACCTGGCTGTTGCGTGGTGAGAAATGTGGTCTAATCTGTTGGGAGGGTACCAGTTTCCAAAGGGCCGTGGCGTATTCTTAATGCCTCGCTTAAGCCCGGGGTGGCTAATCTTGGGGGACATGAATAACAATAAGGCCGCCTCATTGCAAACAAGGTGGCACAGAAAGATTAAAACCACACACAGTGGTGATAAACTGACTTGTTTATTAAAAGAAAAATCAAATAATTATTACCTTAATGAACGGAAACCATTGATGGACTATTTGCAAAATGCAGGCGGGGCGAAGCTTACATGGGGATTTGAAGATTAGATTATAAATGTAATGGG